AAAAAAAAAAAAAAAAAAAAAAAAAAAAAACAGCCTAAAAATAACAATAAAAACTGAGATGGAACCTGTTGGCTGTGGTGGATTAAACCTTTAATTCCAGCCCTCTGAGTACAAGGCTAACATGGTCTACATGGTTCCAGGATAACAGAGACTATGTAATGAGAACTTGTCTCAAAATAAAGGAGATGGAATTTAATTTTCTACTTTCGAAGTAGGCATGAATAGACACTCTTTAAAAAATAAGAAAGTTTATAGATAGAGCCTAGGCTATACTCAAACTGACATGCATCCTCCTGGGTCAACCTCTTCCTTGAAGGCAAGGAGGGACTACAGATACCTACTATGACTTGATTTTAACGAATAACTATGTGGAATTAAAGGCCTGTAGCTTAAGATAAGGACATAAGAGTATTCTGCCTCCTCCCTGCCTTGCTCTCTTGTATTTTGCTGTGAGCCACAAGCATTATAAAGTAAAAGTACAGCTGACAGATCATTAGACAGACTCATGGGAGTGTACTCCAATGAGAAACCTGATTTACAAAGCTTTGGGAACACCTGTCTTTTAGATAGTCACTGTCAATTCTGTAGAAATCTTGAAGTCATGGCTCTTCTCCCTTCTATAATGGGATTCATCCCGAAATATCCCAGCAGTGTATAAATCACTCATTGAGATAATTTCTTCCTGTATAGGCAACTGAATGACCTCTTCCACATCATGGAACCCTGGTGTGAAAGCATTCACTCAGCCAAACCTTTGTTCTCATAGTCAAATCTACATAAAGCTGGACCCTCACAATTATCCTATTGACAACAAAGGAGTCCTGAGCAGGAGAAATGGTATGTCTGCTCTTACTGATAAACAGGTCTGGGTGGCCCTGAATTCTCTTACAGCCAACTGAAGAGAGTATAACCTACTGGCTTTTGATCTACTCTAACGAGCTATTAATATTCTGTACTTAACTTCACTTTTCACTTGACACAGGTCTTAGTCTAGGAAATTAACTATTTGTACCCTTTACCCCTAAAATATACAGGAAAAAAGCTTGGGTCGCTAAACCAGTCCCAGAGAAGGTAATTCCTTCTTACCTGGGTGCCAGGGGATACAGCACCCTGATGTTTATCCCAGGGGAAGGAGGGCCAAGCTCTATCCTAATCCTCCCAGTGTCTGCTGGGAAACTTCACAGCCACACCCCTTCTGAGACAGTCTTTTATTCATCCTGTTAGCCCTAAGAAATGCATGTTTTGTACCACTGTTATTTAGGAGAAAATTATTAACTATGTCTGTGTGGGCATACAAACTAGAAACCTTGTGGGATGGGTAGAACAGCTAGGAATATCAAGAGAAACATCAAAGAGGAACGTTGAAAGGGGAACATCAAGACAGCATTAGAGAGAGCACAGAAAGAATAAATGGGACATGATAAAAAGACTTATGTGAGCTAATTTATTTCATTTACCCTCAGACCTTATTAGTCAGGTTTTTGCTTGCGATAGCCATCCTTCTGAATCCTGAGAGGTTTAGTGGGGCTTAATCCCAACCTAAAACTCAATAGTGTTCTGAACTAAGTGAACTGAGGTGAAGACCTGCCCACTGGGTATCACACATTACGGTAAGGAGTCCAAGCTCCCCGCTATCCATGAGCACACTAAGGTAAGTTATCTGAGCTCCTGCATGAGCTATTGCTCAAGCCACAGTCTAGCTTTTGGGCACCCATAGCTTTTGATCTACTTTAAGTGTATTGGTGCTTTGTCTGCAAATATGCCTATATACTACATGCAGCTTGGTGCCCTCAGAAGCCAGAAGGCACTGGATCTCCTAGAACTGGAGTTACAGACAGTTGTGAGCCTCTCTATGGGTGTTGTGAATGAAACTCAGGTTCTCCATAAGAGCACCCAGTGATCTTCAGTCCCAATATGAAGATCCCTGAACCAGTACCACCCATGGGAAGTTTCTACTGATTGCAAGTTTCTATTACAAACAGTTCTTACCATGGATAGTAGGGAAGAGGCTGGTACAGAGGTTGTGGTACAGGTTTTTGTCCTGACTCATTTCAAACACCTTTTCCCATTCCTTCACTGTCATTTGGTTCTTAATGCTCTCAGCTGTCTGTTCCTCATCTCTGAGTTCTTTCCCTCCAAACTGAGAAGTAGAAGAAAAACAAAACAAAAAAACATTACAAAGAGCTAAAACAATGTAAAGGAAAAGAAATTTCACTTTCATTAGAATGAAACTGCTAGGGAGGTCAAAGTTGTGGTTTGACCCTAAACTAGCAAGACTTGTTAATAAAGGGATTTAGAGGCTTGTCATTTACCCAGTGAGGAAAACAAAGGCTACTATTGTTTTATGTTACTCTGAGCTATAATAGGAAGTTCATCACTGACATGAAAATGAGCCTCAGCAAAAAGCTCTATCAAGCTCTGTTATCTTAGTAAATCTCACCACTAGGGTTAGGGATATAGTCGAATTCATATCTAGTAGGCACAAAGCCCTGTGCTTAATTCCTAGCACAGTAAACAAACAAACAAACAAATAAGTAAAAATAAAACTCACCCTTGGGTTGGTTGGTGCAACATAACAGGCAAGGAAGACCAGCCTGTATGACAGATCTCTGACACCAAGGGCCCGGAGTCCTCGAATGCCTTCTGTCTCATATCCATCAACTCCACTGACTCGAGAGTTAGTTTCTGCGCGTGCTCCTATAAGAGTAAGAGATAAGGTATTTCACAGTTCAAATACTAAAGGTGCTAATAAGAACTAATTTATTGAATAAGCCAAAGCTGAAGCAGCACCTTTCATAGAAAAATTAGTTCTTTAGTCTCTTCATACTTCCATGCTCACTCTGATTGGTAGCCAGAAATGTCACACGGAAGATTCAAGAAGCCAAATATTCTGAGGAGCAGACCAGGATTGGTTATATCTAAACAACAAATTACTGACCTGGTATACTAAGCTTGGAGACATCAGGTACAACTATCAGTGTCCCTGTGAAGTCACACTTGTCACCAGCTTGGGCTGACTCCACAGCTTCAGCTCTCAGGATGACCTCTAAACTTCGGGGGATACTTCCTCGGGGAAGTTCCGCTTGAGTCTCTTGAATACGAACCTATATCAAGACCACCAGCAAAAGTAAGAGATGCCTTTATACACTGTGCGACTGAAACCAACTATGATTGCCCACATATCCCAGCCTCTGTGTACACTTTTCTCTTTGTGCGTGTGTAAGGGAGGCTAGAGCCCTATCTCAGGTGCCCCTCCTCAGGCACCATCTACCTCTTTAAAGACAGGGTCTCACTGGCCTGGAATTTGCCACTTTAGCTACAAGGGTTGACCCTTTAGCTTTAGAGATTTGGTTGTTTCTGCCTCCTGTGAACAGAGCCACCACATTTGGCTCTTTTTTTTTTTTTTTTTTTTT